TCTCTCTCTCTCTCTCTCTCTCTCTCTCACACACACTCACACACACACACACACACACACACACTCTCACACGGGTCTGACGTGTGTCTCAGGTGCAGGAGCTGAGCGCGGCGCTGCAGGAGAAGGCAGACTGGTGCAGTGAGCTGCTGCTGAGCTCGGAGCAGCTGCAGAGAGATGTGTGTGAGAGAGACGAGGAGATCGAGACGTTGGGAGTGCGCCTGAGGGAGCTGGAGCACACACTCATGCACAGGGTCAGTGTGTGTTTGTTTGTTTGTCTGCTCGTGACGCAGAGCTAATGCTGCTCGCTGAGAGAGAGAGAGTGTGTGTGTGAGAGAGCGACACTGGAAGCACAGCTGCAGACAGAGAGAGAGGCTCTGGACAGGAAGGAGAAAGAGGTACTTCCTGTCACCTTACACATTCCAGCAACTCCAACAGAACTGGGTTGTGAAGATCTCGTGTGTATCCAGATGCAGTTTTATGACTAAGTTCTATGTAGTGCTCATCACTTTCATGTTTTCATAGCGAGCTCAAAGTGAACTCTGCAGTATTGACCTTTAAGCCTTAAACAGAACCAGTTTTAAAAGAATCAGAGCAGTATTGTTGTGTCAGAAAGCATGACTACTGTCGTTTATTCTGTAACACTCAAGCATCCCATATTAACTCATGTTACGCCGCTCACAAGCCTAATAAACCTCTTCGTTGTGGAGACTATTCCTGTTTCCAGGGTAACAGCCACTATTATGGGTAGTGTAGAGCATCACTGGAAAATCCTCAAACAGGTTATGGCCAAAAATCAGTTTCTGCGTGGATTTTTCAATATATTTATAATTATAATTTTTCTGGATTCCATTTTTCCCGTTTAAATTTTTTCTTTAGTTAGAAGAAAGCACATCTAATTAACGGAAATCATGAAACTTATACAACATTTTTAATTTTTCAAAGAAATGTTTTATTTTTTCCCTAAAATATATTTATTTATTTAAATTTTTCTGGATTCCATGTTTTGTTTTGTTTTTTCATTTTAATTTGTCTGCTTTCCGTTTTAATGGTTAAACTAAAGTTTGGTCATCAAAAAAGCATGTCAGTAATTATAAATCATGAAACGTATAGAATTTTAAAACAATTTATTAAAAGTCTAATTAATAACTAAATTTTAGGGCCCTGGGAAATCCATTCTGTATTGAATTTATTTTTCCCTAAATTATTATTTTTTTTTCTCTTTTAACATTTCATTCTAATGTTTAAATTAAATTTAGTAGCAATCAAAAAGCATGTCTAATTAATTGAAATCCTGAAACATATACAGTTTAACAATAATTAAATTAATCTGTTTATTAATGTTTTTCCCCTTAAATTCTGTTTTATTACCATTTATAACTAAAAAGCATGTTTAATCAATTAAATTCAGAAAACGTTGACAATATAATAATTTATTACGTTATTATTATTATTATTTTTACAATAATAGGGCCCTATGAAATGTTTAATTTTTCCAGAAATGATTTGTTGTCCGTTTGTGTATGATTTAATACAAATGTATTATCAAAAACGGTGCTCATCAAATTAAGGCATAAAACATTGGCATTTTAAATTAATCTTTTAAAAATGTAAAAATTGTGCTGCTCGAGTTTTATTGTTAAAATTAAAACATGGAAGAAAATGTGATATTTCAATCTTTTTTTTTTTTACTTCAATTATTTATTACTAATTACTTTCTAAATCCTATATCAAAGTTAACGAATGATACGAGGATAGACATCAAACAATTCTTTTAATTCTTTCAAATAAATAACAGATAACTACATCAATTATTCAGGTACACTTTAGATTAGGGTCAAATTCTCACTTATGACTTTTGCCTCAATATACTCCTAATTACTGTTTGTTAATGCTTAATAAAGTAGTTTAAGAACTGGGTAGGATTAAGGATTTAGAATAAGGTCTTGCAGAGTAAGACATTAATATGTGCTTCTTAACTAATAATAAACAGCTAATATCCCAGTAATATTCATGCATGTTCATAGTGAGAACTGGACACTATAGTGTTACCAATATTCAACTCACCAAAGTATTTAAAGTGAGAAGGGGACATAAAAAGCATGCATTTTAAGGTTAGGCTTTTGATGTTAAATCCACTATTGCATTGTATTTCAAGGCAACAGTAATTAAATTACTTAGTAACTAGTTAGACCCAACACTGGCTGTATATGTGTGACATATGTCTTTTATGTAATGGGTGTTGTTTCTTTATATCAATGAAAAACTGTTTCACATTTTAAATATCTCCCTTTCCTTATGATTTGTAATATAGTTTCTTATTTGTAAGTATCAAAAGAGATCACGTAAATGTGATATTTCTGAAAAAGCATGAGGTTTGAGTGATTTGAAGTGCTCTGTGTGTGTGTCTGTCTCTGTGTGTGTGTGTGTGTGTGTG